GTCTGCGTACCGACCGTTTCATCTCTGCACGTGTTGGTCGTACTGCTAATTAACGAAGGTAGTGGTTACATGTCCTGAGAGCGCCTACTGAGCGCCCACTGAGCGCCCATTGAAGGCGATCGGTACGTGCGGCGCTAGGACTGATTGATTTCACAACTCATACAGAGCTCAATGTAATCGCTTCGAGACACCAACAACCAACATAAAAATGTTTGATAGCTGTTTATTAATTCTTATGATTCATCAGTCGATTTACGATACGTTTGCATTTGGACATATTGATATGAAAACATAATGTCAAACCACCTGTTTTTTTTATCAATTATAATAATTCATTACAGCTGATAACATCATTTCTATCTAATGGTAATAATGCATAACAAATATAGGAAATACCGACTAAACAGTTTGCATGTAAATAGCAAAATTAGTTTAGCATAATGTGTTTTCATTACCATTTTAAAATTCATCTTTCCCAGCCGACTGACGATAAACTATCGTGTTAATTTAGCGTTGTATCTGCCTGACCCTAGTACCACCGAGTCTAAATACGTTATCTCTTAGGATGTCATCAAAATCAAGCCAAACACTTTTATGCTTATGCATGCGTATAAACCTTAAACTTTTATAACACTAGGACAGGTATTGAAATGAAAATAATATGAAATATTACAGGCAGTGTAAAACGTATGGAGTACACATGAGAAAAACTGTCTATAGAGATTGCGACAAACTATCGGTCGTGATGTGAATGAATAAACACCGATTATATGTAATTTACTATGACCGAGGGAACATGTGTTTTTCATCACACGCAGTTCCCTGCCTATTGTTGTTATAGAAATCCTCCTCAAGTAGGTTTTTTTTCTCGTGTCGAGTATTTCTAATCTTTGTAGAAGACATATTTTAATGTTGTGTTAATGGGTAAAGTTGATTGATATCAATATACGATAACTTCAGTATTTCAGAAACTGACATCAGGTATTCAGCGGAATATGCTAATTTAGATCTCACACAGAGTTATCATTATGTAGCTTTTAATCAGTGGAACATACCCCTTAGATATGTTTACATCCTTAAACTGATTTGAATATAGCATTTTGTTCTCTCACTTCCTTTACTTCATTATTCATATTCTGTAACAAATTAATAATTTATCTTTTTCGACAATAACAGCTACTTATCGACGACAAAGAAGAGATTCCTGACAGGTGTATATCCTGGCCAGACGGTTTGTCTTTTGTGTAACATTAGATCAATAATATCTTCGTTTTGATCTTAAAAATCCCTTATGTACTACGTACTTGTTAAAAGGAAGTATGATACCAAACTTATCGGCCATAGCAATAACGGTAAATAAAGCCATATGGTATACACATTAATATAACAATGGATTCTAAATGAACTCAAAAATTATTTGACAATTTTCCTTGCATGTATTTCCGGGGTAACCTAGAGTATCTTGTATGTAAATAGTAATAGTAACATCACAATTATAGTAAATACCCGTCATAAAGTGAAGATGTTACAGGACATATGTCAGACGAGTAAACAGGCGGTGTATGTCCCATCTGTTTGAAAAAACTATCTACATTAAATACGGGGTACAAATACTGGATTATCTGTCTTGGCTGTAACATTAAACGTATATATGTCCGGATCATCTGTCGGACAATATCCGGTATTATGTCTGCCTCCCACGACGCCATAGAGTGTACATGCCATTTTAACCCCTGCCACGTGGCTATTTATACATCTTCACACTTTTATTTCTCTTATTGTATCAACGGTTAATTTTTATTTCATGTACATCTCTTTACTGTGATATCGAGATACATGGTGGATATATTACCGAGCTTCCATTAAAACAGAAATGCAAAGAACTTGAGCAGGATTAAAAAGAATTTATTAAACTTAAGAACGTAATAAAAACAGAACAAACGTATTGCTTACACTTTTACACGTACACCTCCTGGTGTATTTTATTTTGTTATTATAAAGTACACTCATATCAGTGAAATGTGTCTAGTTTAGTAAGTATAGGAGTTGTGTGACAACACCATCAAGTAGTACCTGAGGTCTGCCTTGCTGAATTAATTACTAAAATTTTGTCAATTTATTTACCTAAATGATATTTTAAAATAATTACAAATATTTTGGTATCGTTATTGTTCTGTAATCAATTCTGAGTTGCGTAAAGGTAACAACGTTTAAAATTTAAGCATCCATATGTTACGTCACCGCGGATAATTGTCCGAAATGGAGCCATGCGATAAAAAGGGCGCCAAGCTTTAATCACCAAGTTTTATAGCTCAAGCATTTAACCAATCAAAGTGACTGAATGAGTTTATCAGTTGACTGATTAATGTTTATCTTTAAACGTATACACCTGTCATCAAAAGGATGACATTGGAATCGATCAACAATGACAACTGTGGTATTCAACAGATTTTTTCCCCAAAAAACTTGAGAAACATACTGTCTACAGAGTTTGCTATTGCAAATTCGGCTGTTCTACGTATCATTACTCTCTAGATAAATATGTCGTATTGATTATAATTATTATTCAACAACCAATTATCCATGGTTTCCTAAAAAAACAGGCTTCGATTCATGTTGATATATTTGTTACGTTCGCCATCAGGATCTGAACTCTAACTACGAGATCTTAGTGTCTACCATCAGGAGTTGTTTACATCGTTTTGAATCGTCGGAAGCCTACTTTTGGCATATTAGAATTGTACGCTCACTTGCTTTTCCTACACCTCTGGGATATGTAATGACAAACTTAAAGACACGGGGTTAGCCATTTGATTAGTTTCAGATAAAAAAAGGACCTGACTGATCGGTATGCTGATACACTATTCATTTGAGTACTACAGAGGAGCAACACCCAACTTCAAAGTTCATCCACTGTACAGTTACGTTACGTGCTATCCTTTTTTGTACATCAAAGGGCGAAACTAGTTTTTCTTTTATATCATCAATAAGGTGACAACTTTAGAGCCTGAATTTCTTCATGACTTATTCCAAAGTGTAGAGAACGTTAGAGAGCGAATCCCTGGATATGGCAGACACCGTATTGAATGCAGAACACGCTTACCCTTCTGGAATACCTGGGTTTATGCTGTTTTAATGGGGGCTCATGACGTTATTGTTTCTCATCTCCGGAATTCGTAGTATTGTTCTATTTGGACCAACTTAAAATTCCGATATTATTCTTGTGTATTGATTGATAAGATGGCTTTGATTGTTGATGCTGTGGTATATGTATCATTGTGTGTTGATGCTGTGATATATTTTGTCCTTGTTTGTTGATGCTGTGATATATTTTGTCTTTGTACATTGAAACTAGTGTATAAGTTGCCTTTGAGTGTTGACGTGGTGGTGTATTTATCCTTGTGTGTTGATGCTGAGGTTTAGATTGTTCTTGTTTGTGAATGCTACAGTACGTAGTTTTACCAAATTACTTAATTTACTTTTACTTTATAAATTTAAAAATATACCTTGAAGGACGAAACAACTGAATGGTGCAGTCAATTACCAATTTTTAAAAGTGCAATCCTGTGTGGTTATGTACGACATGATACAAGTTGGTGGACCTTGCTGATGGATTTCTAGGTTTGCTGTAACCTTGGTAGCCATAATATCTTTTGCGTAGTGGTACGGTTCATGACATACACACCCTACTCATTACTACGAAATTTACCAGTCCCCTCTATTTTGAGATTCATAAATCAAAGGATTTTACGCATCTCCTCTTCAGTTTATACCTATTTGGATTTCCAACGTTTTGGCTCCAAAATCACAGACGATTCCTACAAGGACGAGACAGATGTATGGCACAGTGTAATTACTTTTCCACATACTGTTTCTGTGACCAGATTTTAAATGTGCAATCACCTAAGGTGCGTGTGTTACGTTTATCTTTAAAACGTTAGTTTGCATTTACCTCATTGTTAGAAAAAGAAATATAAAAATACCATTAAAATTCTTCATAAATTGAAGTATATATATGTGTTTTTGTGTGGGGATCTCCCATCAGTGGTCGAGCCTGTCTTCCTAGTTTCTCCGGCCCTTCAACACTTCCGCGAGTATATTGAATAATCATCAAATTACACGCCGACTGTCTATGAGTCTATCCGATTAACAGATGGGTTGAGGAAGAGGAAGTCGTACAAACACCTTAATTTCACTCGATGACCACTATCCCAAAACAATAAGTCAAGTGCTTTGTATCATATAAACACTTCAATATACATTATATGACATCTTCAAGTGAAATGTGAAACAAGTACAAACATTTTACGTTCATCGAATATTGTTAATATTTTGTATATACTATTCATTTTGGTATATAAGCATCGATAAACAACTGAATTCTTGACCATAGATAGAAGTTGTTTTTTGTTCAGAGCATCCCCACTCAAAACAACCAGAAGTAGATACATGTATGGGTGTTGTAGTTGTAGAGAGACAAAGCGGTCCAATATACATGTCGCAAAATCCTTTTCTGAAACATCGTTTCACTCGGCTCTTATTGATTTTTTAGCATATAAAACCGGCATAAAACGATAGGATGTTTCATATTTAAAGTTATGCTCGATTGTTACAACTGATAAGGGCTTATTTTTCATATTGAATAAGTCATTACTTTAACTTACACTAATGTCGTTTCCATTGCTGAGCTTTGTTTCCATTGCTGAGTTTTGTTTACATTGCTGAGCTTTGTTTACATTGCTGAGTTTTGTTTTCATTGCTGAGTTTTGTTTACATTGCTGTTTTTTTTTAGTTTTGTTTACATTGCTGAGCTTTGTTTACATTGCTGAGTTTTGTTTACATTGCTGAGTTTTGTTTACATTGCGGAGCTTTGTTTACATTGCTGAGTTTTGTTTTCATTGCTGAGTTTTGTTTACTTTGCTGAGCTTTATTTACATTGCAGAGTTTTGTTTAAACACTGATGCTACTTTGTTGATCACATGCTTCTCTCTTTTCTGTAGCCCGCTCGTGTTCGAGGAGATGAGAAGGTAAGGGATTGTTTATCGCTTACATCAGCCTTCCTCTGTGGGCTCGTTTATCGCTTACATCAGCCTTCCTCTGTGCACTACTTTCGTTATCAATGTTGTAACAGTATCGGAAAAATAGTGTTCTAAATGATTGATGTAAAGTGTCGAATTCAATATCAGTTTTGAAGTGAAAAAGAAAAAAGTATCTCTCATACTTTAGGCAAAAAAGTTTGACATTTTACCATTAAATGGGTTGAGAGAAGTGTATGTTAGATGACATTGTTCCTATGAGTGTTGTAATATTGTATTGTCTCCATGTGTTCTCATTTCTACAGCGTTTTAAAATTGAACAATTGAACACCGTTTTCTAAAAAAAGGAAAAAGCGAGAAAATCAGTTATATTCCTTTTTCAATATGTTCCCTTCCGCTGATTTATATTCAATAAATTGGCAATTATGGTACAATAAAAATCAAGAAAACGAATAATACAATACTAATAAACTCTCAGCAATCAGTGAAGCAAATGGATACCTTAATTCTGAATGTGAAATTTATTCTCACCATAGTGTAATTTTAATTATACATTGAATATTCATAAAAGATTGAACCATAAGATCTTTAAAAAAAATGTGCAACATAAGTCTCCTTAATAGCCCAACCATTTATTGAATCAAATGTTTAATTCAATTTAGGAATATCTAAAACATATCTTTGCATATGCGATCTAATCAACTGACATAGATTTCTTAGTATTTTTACATATGATAATGCAAAAAAAATAAATCTTTATATCTTTTCAATCTTATGATTTTGTAAGCATTTTTGTTATTACGATCCATTGTTATAATCGACAAGCTTATGTATAAAAACAACATTCAAATATGAAATCTTTTTGTTTATCATTCAATAGAATCTTTTTTAAAAATAAGAGATACATGTCATTAATATATATGTAAATGTCATATAGTGCATTTACGCGTAAAACAATATATAAATATGTCAAACACTAAATGTAGATATCATACAATCCATCCATTAATAAGCAAAGAAGCAATAGGACAATGTATTTATTAACGAAATACACATCTAACGAGCATGTGTCTGTTCGGATCCAGTGCCCATATTGGACCTTTCTGTCGTTATTACTTATGAAACATGTATAGCTATATATCTTTCACTTTTTCCAAGAGAAGAGGTTAATTAGGAAATCCCCTGATTTTTTCGTTTTTCTTTTCTATATATTTACCATCACAAATACTTCAGATCAAATAATGAAAACAAAAAGCCACACTAAGTACGTAAAGTTAATACATTATTATAAAAAAAAACTTATTACCATGCATTTATCTCTTCGCGTTTAATTTGAATAACGAATATAATTCGAATATATTAATGGCTTGAATATTCGTTGATGTTAACTGCAAGGGTGTTAAAGAATAAATAAATAAAATATACAAGTACATGGAGTATATATACATTCCCACATTAAACATAAAGGTAAATTAATTAGATTGATTAGTATTACTGTGGGTGGAGATATCGAGAGCTAAGTATAATGTTGTTTTTTTATGTGAAATCACTTGCTTCATTCAGTATCCATATTATGTAGATATACTTGTTGGTTAATGATAATGCATTTCTGAGAACCCAGCAAGATGATTTTCCCATTGTGTCCCAAAGTGTCATGCAATTCTACGATATAAGAGCAACAACTATTTATCGGTGCATAGTTAGTGTATTATATCAATATCAACAATGATGATTTGTTTATTTGAGTCTTCATGTAAAATAACTTTTATATTAAAGTAAAACATGCAAAACCAGAAGTCAAGGTCGACGGAAAACATGACACCAAACAAGAGAGGAAAAACAAAAAACTAAACGATAAATTTCAAAGGAATAGTAGCTGTTTGCTCATCATATAGTTATGTGCTCTATCAAATCGACTAATTTTGAAATATTAAAACCCTCAATAATTTAAATAAGCTATAAAAACTAACCCAGAGATTTAACTGATTCTGTGCAAGTAAGTTTTATATATGCATATGCAGAAATTGATTATTTTTATAAGAACTGTCGTATATATTTACGGATTGAATTCTGTTTTGTAGAGGTTTATGGGGTATAAACCTCAATTGGTCTTGAGACAAATTTTATGAACTACGAAGCAGTTCATTTTGAATTTGTCTCAAGACCCATTGAGGCTTATACCCCATAAACCTCAACAAAATGGGATTCTATCCTTATATTAACATTCAGAGCGATATTGATATTTGTTCGGATAATTTCTAAAATATCGGTCTTGTGCAAGTCTAACACCACGAAAGGTATCAAAACTTATGACGTCATCACTCACTGTGAGACGTCGTTCTGTTAAGATGAATAAGCAAATAAAGATGTAAATTATTTTTTGAATTCAATTAAATTCTTCTGACAAAAAAACAACAAATTGAAAACAATCTATTAATGGAACTACTTCCCGCGCTCCGCGGAATAACAGAGTAATTAGGTTGATAATATGCTGATGTATTCATACGCCAACTGAAAAGTTCATTGAAAAATAACCTTTAAAATGTTAAGTAGGTATATTAAGTCCAAGTTCAGTAGAAATGTAAATATAAATGAATAAACTCAGAATGTTTAATTTTTTTTTTCCAATATTACATAAATATACATATTTCCCAACGTTTCTGAAATGATTAATTCAATATAGGAAAGTGGTTCCTCGCTCATTCGAACTGTGATGTGCATAATATGAATCATTATATGATTACTATTGTGCAGGCTGGATATATGTTATCGTTAATGTACTATAGAACAATAGTATTACATTGCAGCTGCATTTATTGTTCATGAAATATCAAATTATCCTTTGTTAATTTTACACAGAGTGTGAAATCTATTTAGGTTCTTTGCTTTAAATAGGTGTTCCTTTTTCCGTATTTCTAGTACTTATTTTACGTAACAAGATCAGTTGACTATACTGGTGGACTATCAGTCTCCGAGGTTGACCGTAACGATGATGGTGGAATTCATTCTACTATGGTTAACAAAAAATACTTGTTTCAGAATACATTAACTGTGGTAATTAAAGTTGTAAATGTATAACGTTAAAACGGGCATTATAAGCACATTTCCCCTACTGCTGTATTTCTTTAACTGTTTCGGAACACTGCAGACTTGGATTAACATTTTTTTAAATTTCAGTAACACTGATGAGACCTAAATGTACGACATAGCCATATGGTGGAGTTTAACATTGTTATGCTATCTGCATCGACCTTTATAACAAAAATCCTGTTCCTAGTAATAATTTTACGTAACCTTGTAGGTTGACTTTATTAGTCGGCCGTAACCTTGTAGGTCGACTTTATTAGTTGGCCGTAACCTTGTAGGTTGACTTTATTAGTTGGCCGTAACCTTATTACGACTTTATTAGTTGGCCGTAACCTTGTAGGTCGACTTTATTAGTTGGCCGTAACCTTGTAGGTTGACTTTATTAGTTGGCATTAACCTTGTAGGTTGGCTTTATTAGTTGGCCGTAACCTTGTAGGTTGGCTTTATTAGTTGGCCGTAACCTTGTAGGTTGACTTTATTAGTTGGCCGTAACTTTGTAGGTTGACTTTATTAGTTGGTCGTAGCCTTATAGGTGGAATTTATTCTGGCATCGTGTTCATAAAATACTAATGGAATAACATATTTTCTGTTGCAACTTTTGGTTACAACAGAAAATAATTTAAGTAAGTACCTACTCAACGGACATGTGGCATTGCAACCCAATCGTGAATTAATACACGTTGTTTAAAACATTCATACTCACTCGCATTTCTGCTTCGTCTAGGCGGCACCAAAAACACGGCATACCAAAAATAATTTAACGGAACCCATATTTCTGATTCGTCTAGGTAGCACAAAATACACGTACGGCGTACCTAAATCCTTCAACGGAAACCATATTTCTGCTGAGCTAGGTAGCACCACAAACATGGCGTCCCGTAATCTTTCACGCGGAACAAATATTTTTACTTCAGTTAGGCAGGTACCACAAGCACGCTTTACCTTAATCATTCACCCGAAGCCTATATTTCTACTTCGGCAGCACCGTTACGTTGCTGTACCTTACGCAATCATCTTGGACCCATTTTGTCACATGTTATTGTATTAAATACGTACACTTTTAATTTCATAAATGCAAATAGATAATACACGAGAAAGACAAATATTGACTTTCTGCATGTACAACCAAAATTTTAACTACACTGTAGATGCTTCATTTCTAGTAATTATTAAGACTTTAAGATAATCTTTGGGTAAACAACATTGATATACTATTACTTCATGTGTCTTTCCCAACTTCTTTTGTCTCTATCCTGATTAAATCACACAGACCTGTTTCTCTATCATGTTATTTTAATGTTCAATGTAATGCATCGTTATATGTATGCACTGCATATCCACATAGTTTGTGGAATTTTGTTTTGCTTTCACTATTTTCCCCTGTTTATGGATATTATGTTTGCAATTTCATGGCTTGTATTATCATTTAAATCCTTAATAAACCCAAGTAGAAATGAATTTTAAATCATCACCTTGCATGGTTTAATTCAATACATAATTCGAAACTTTTAAGAATCCAAGTCAAAGATCTTCATCAACTGCGTCCCTCGAAACCTTGTGCTGTAAGTTTGTCCGTCAGAACCTGGTATCTATCAAAGAAATCATGATATTAGGGACAAGCTCTTAAATAATAAATCAAAAGCCTCAAATATTTAAACATCGTAAGTTTGGAAAGCAGAGGTGTTACTATCAAGAGAGTGAAAATTCAAAGTAGGTAAAATTAGAATTGCTTATCTTAAGCTTAGTTGTAAGACGTCCCTGTTGGACATGTTATAAGTAAATATCGCGATAAGCAGCAGATGTAAATGAGTCTGTCATGTCCTTATTTGAAAAAAACACATCGTCATTCTTTTTAAAGTGCATGTGAAGGACCTGGGAGGGTTTTTGTTACCAGTTCTGTACGA